AAAATTAACTTGTTTGACATTTAAAGAAAGACGAGTAGCATTGCTATTTAGTTATCATGTGGTACTACATTACCAATTTTGATTAGTTAAGGACAGGCGGTGTACGTGTAGAAATGGTCAAATCTTGTTAATTGTATATGTCATCGGCTTGACATTGAATCAAATTCTAACTCCGAACATGTTTTTGTTTCAATTTTAAATATTTTTATGAAAATGTATAAAAATTATGTAAAAATCCTCATCCTGCAAAATGATATTTTAAGCGCGCCATGTTTTTTTCCACACATTTAATGTCATCTATTTTAATCGCTTAAAATGTAAAAATTACACAAACTATCAAAATGTCAAAGAATTATTGTGTCATTCATATCAAAATGCAATTTGTATAATTATGATATGCAGATGTCAATTAATAGTATACTAAGGAACTTGTATCAAGAATTATACAATTATCTTAAAAGTGAAAATCAAATTATTCATAAATTAACTTACGTGATCACTCTTAAAACCAAAACCCTTCTTAGTCCCGGTTACCCTCACTGACTACGCAACAATTATACAAAAAGTATATATATATATAGTATATATACTATATGAGAAAATAGAAAAGCTTGCATTTAAATGTCATGTAATAAACTCCTATATATTTTACGCTATTAGCTTAATAGGCAATTAATAATAAATGCTCGTGGACTCTTTTAATCTTTATCATTTGCATTATTATAACCTTTTCAAATAAATGTTGCTCATAAATACAGTATGATGCCAACAAATATATTTCCCCTTTCTAGCAAAGGTAACACGTCATGACATAACTCTAGGGACACAATTCTAATCCAAACCTTTTAGCACCATAAAAATCCACAGCTAATGCCAGATCTTATATAAACCCTTGCCCCGCTAGAGCCGAACTTGACTAGTCTTTCTCACCAGTTTAGAGACGGACAAGAGTGCATGGATCAGGCTTTCTGTTGGCTGACTAACTGTGAATCACTAACATTGATTATGGACAGATAAGTTAAAAAAAGGAAGCAAGGCATGTCTATTTAGGTAATTATGCAGGTCAAAAGTAAACATACAACGTCGCTTGTTTGTTGTTTTTGTTGTTTTTTGTTGTTGTTTTTTTTTTGCAAAAAGAAACAAACCCAAAAGCAACCAGTTTATCAATATCAATGCAGAACGAACGACTGTTCCTCACAAGGCAATTCTGCAGTGAGTTCAATGACAAGAATGTTGTCAAATCAGAACAATTTTTTAGCAAACATTGAAGCAAACATTGAAGATGGTTTTTATGATTTAAAACACAAGTTGGCCTAACACTTGGTGAAACTACGAAATCTATATGATATTATTCGGACTAGTTTCAAACCTAAAATGCAGATAGTAGCATTACGCAAATGTAGACAAAATGTTGAAAAATCAAGTCGATTCAACGTTGTTTGAAAATGTTACGGAAAGATTCCTGTTTCGACTTCTGTCCTTTAAATTTAGTGGTCTCAGTCTGTTCTTATTACAAGCATCATTTCTGAAACTTAAGCCGATGTCAGTACAATTTATTTTGAATTAATTTAGACTACTTTCTGAGCCAAATTCAGAGGCGAATGGAATGCAAGTCGCTGTGCAAGCAAATTCACAAAAGGTATGAAAGTCGGTCCCAAAGCGCAGAAACTAAAAGCAGAACAATATTTGCCAGATTGCAATAATTCTGAATATCACTGGCAAAGCGCCATTAAAATGACATTTACCAAAGTAATATTATGTCATCCCTTTAGTATAATGTCATCAGACATTTTTACATTTGCAACATAAGCAACAAGCTCGGTAATACTGGGACACTCGGACAATGTCAGCTGTGTTAACAAACTAACCAGGAGGGATATGCAATACGATTCACATGGGGTAATGAAGCTTCTTCCGCCATCAAGCACTAGATTAAGCCGTATTCTATCACGACAAAATTGCTCGGACACGAACATCCCATGGGGAAAACGCAAAGTCAATTGATTTACCATGAAATCTGTCAAAATTCGCCTAGCCCCGTCGTGTCTTTGTATACGAAAATATTGCCAAAGAATATTACTTATTTGATGGACCGAATGCGTTGTCTACGAGACAAAATTTTCTAGATACAATATCAAAAGATGCCTCTTTGCTGATAATAACTAACACAAAATAGTTCATGTCTCAAAGATGCAAATTCCAGACAATTTATATCCGCCCAGTCATCAACCGACAACATCGCAGCAAGATCAGATCATTTAGACCTTGTCTATTTTCCACAATGAATAATGCTCACGTTTGATCTAAGCGTATGATGCCTTTAATGACGTCATGACATTTTCGGACTGAAATAGATTTGTTTCAATTTCTAAGAAATGTTTTAAGTAGTAAAAAGCAAAATATAGTCTCATTGTCAAATTGTCCATCTTGCTAACATGGCGTGGCTTGAAGGTTGTAAATTGTCAACGGCTAAATGCCAATATACATGTATTCTATAACTTTGAACTAATCTAATCACTTTTGTAGCATCATTTTTATACAAACATACATCTAGTTTCGGACAGTATTATGAAAGCCCCAAAATTATAAATACATACACTTTTCATAAATCGGGATACATGTTAAGGTATTTCTAGAGCATACTGAAAGTGAATGCCATTATTGCAAAACTATTGTTGAAGACGAATGTCACTTTGTTGATGAAATATAATCATAATTTTTTAAAATACGTTGTTGTTGCTTTTGTGTGTATGCTTTAAAATATTTGGTAAGCTTCTGAGAATAATCACCGTTGTTTCAATAATTTCAATCCATTCAAAATACATAATACTGTAAATCATAATCATTACAATCGTCACAAAAAATGAGTTGTTTTTGTTTTTTCAGCGCGAACTTCCTCGTGTACATAATTGAGAAAATGATTGCGACACGAGAGAATCTGCTTTTCTGTTGAGAATCAATACTTTACGCCGCAACACGCAAGTCTAAAATTGTGTTTGATAATTGTTCCAATTCATGCCTGACAAAGCAAATCTTTATTAGATAGAATATTAAGTGCGAGTCCTTACAACAAACAAGGTCAATGATGAATTCTTTTTTTCAATATATATTGTGTTCAATGATATAACAATGAAAAATGATGCGCTCGAGTAAATGGCGGGAAAACTGTATAGAAAATGGATATTAATTTATATGCCATACATGGCCTAATTTGCCGGTTTTGTCCTTTAAAAAGTACAATAAAAATTATTAAAGAGTACGACAATAGGAAACGGTGATGCATAAGTTGAAGAGATGTGTGTGCGACATTGGTTCAATATACAAGTGGAACCTAAAGTTGGATTGGTCTTTTAAAGTAATATCCAATGAAAATATCCTAAGAAATGTTGTCACATAGAATTGTTGTGCACGCAAGTATGGTCTGTTTCAATAAGTCGTACATGGCTATAAATATCAAAATTCTTAGAAAAAATCTACCACGCCTCAATAATAATCAAATTTCTAAAGAGATCTCTTTTTAATTTCCGTTTCTTCATATCAAATTAACAAATCGTAAAAAAGATATGTCATTAAATATCATGATAAATTAATTGGTGCTAAGGTGTCGTTCGGTGCAAGTAAATAGACGCCCTGGACGGTGCTAAAAAGGGTTGGGTGTAGACGGTGCTAAGTAGGGTTATATAAATTTTGCGCAATAATTTAATCTAAAATGCTTTCCTTTTGACAATCTGGCAATTTCTACCATATAATTGGTTGTAAATATGTACTTTTTTGTTCAAGGACAAATAGTCTTTTATTGTATGATCAAATCAATTGGTAACCGATTGACACAAGAGGACTTGGTAAAACAGATTGGCAAAAGACATTTGTCAGACACATGACTTACAAAACATTTTTAAATTTACCCATCGACAAAAGACAAATTGAAAAAAACTTGCGTATAACTGACAAAAAGACGACAAAATAGCAAAGGTACATTTGAAAATGAAAAAGAACAGCACAATAAAAAAGATCAATTGACAAAAGTTATTAATTGCCAAATAATGATATCCAGATGACAAATGATACTTAAATGACAAAAGTGAACTGACAAAAGTCAAATATCCTACAAAAACAAACATGGATTACCAGATAACAACAATTCATTAATAAAAGAAAACCGAACAAGGATAACCCGCTGACAAAACTGATAAACAAGTGGCAAATATTCACTGAAAATATTCACTGACAAATATTCACTGACAAATCACAAGAATCCAATGGTGACCAAATGTCAACAAAGAGAACCTTGTAAAAACAGTAAATTGATAAAAGAAAACCGACCAAGGAAAATCAGCAGTTGACAAATCACAAGTATATAATGATAACCAAATATGAACATTGATGATCACGTGACAGGAGTTATTTGATAAAATACAATTGAACAAGGGTAACCAAATGAATATTATGATATATAGTGTCAAAACCCTTCATCAATTTGCCATTGTTTTCTTAATTTCTTAAGTTTCATTCAGAATTAGTGACCCACTTGAAAAATGCATAAATTTCATGCTAAAAGTCCATATTTAATATACTATTTTTAACTAAGATTTATTGATTAGCAAAACATATATTAAGAAAAAAAATTGTGCAAGAAATTTAAGAATATCAGCTTCCAAAACAATACGAAAAACATTAAACTATTTTATATAGAATATATATTTGTGAAATATCTACGTCAAATTAAATTGTTAAGAAAAAGCAGTTTAAAGTTTAGAATAGATATGCAAACATAAATACAAGGGTGTTTCACACTATCTAAGATACATGCAACATGCAACAGAGAAAATGGAGGAATGAATAATTTCTTGATATTTTTTTGGAAAGCAATTCAAAATTCCGAGAGAAAAAATAGCACAAAATTGTCAGAAAACGTGTGGCAATTTAAGCGTATAAAATTTTTATATAAGATTGCACTCAAATGTATAGAGGTGGGTGATTTTAACACGTGTCAAACCTACCCTTCCTTGGCACTCGCGCACGAGCTCACGTGCAACATTTAGAGAGTCAGCGACGTGGTTTCAAACACGTCAGAACTACTTTTTTTTATTCCGCGCTAACAGAGCATAAATCCATTTTAATCCAAGACACACGTATGGCCCTTTTTTCTACATGTTTCCACACCACTAATACTGTGCAACTAAGCAGCCCATAAAGTGATAACAAACGTCCTCCAAATCGATTGCTTTTACAATTTTCTACAGCAAGTAAGTTGACAAGAATCCTAAAATTTCCTGGAAAAAAACTACCAAAGCTTTACAGACTGAAAAATATTTCTTACAAAAGCGGCAGGAAAACCCGTTCGAGCCTAAATACACAAAAAAAAAGAACGGACAAAATTATGTTAAAACACCTAAATTGCAGTATTTTTAAAAAGCAGGAGTAGTAAATACAGGGGAGTTTCACAACGTAGGAGGGTCTTGCCTGTCCTCTGAGTCGGAATCATAAGATGTTCCCCAGCGCCACCGCCTGGGTCCCGATTTTAATCTGGCCTCTAACACCATAATCCATTCACTACGTCATTTCATACAATTTTCCCTCTATTTCCCCCTCAAATCGTATCCAATATCAAACAATTGTAATCCATTTTTTTCTTGAAACGTTGAATAATCCGAACAACAATTTTAAACACACTTCATTTTATCGCCTTAACATTCAAATGTTTATGGTATCTCAGTGAAAGACTGATACGAGTTGCCGTATTTTTACGGAACCAAATCACGCTAGTAGCGCTAACAGATGATGTCCTTTACTAAATAAATTGTCAATAATGGCGACCAATAATGCATATACAGTGCAGGCACTGACGCCGAAATCTGATAAATTCTAAACTATGGACTATCTCGTCTAACTGATGACAATTACGAGCTTTTCAGTAATTAACTACTCCAGAAACAGTAACTAACCAGCGAACAGATAAAAAGAAATATCTCATGTAGGAAAAACAAATCTTGTCACCACACATCGACTTTACTTGTCAATAATACACTCAAATCCAAACCCTGGATCAAATATTCATTTTCTCCCCGAGAAAATCTGTTATTTTTAATATCTATGCATAGTTTGTATTTATATTTATATGTAAACAGCAGCCAAATATAGTAATTTGCTACACAGTTGCAAGTTAGAGATTTATGTGAAAAACCCAATATCGGTTTGGTGTTTTCGCTTTATTCATTCGTTCTTGCGCGGCGATAGATTTCCGAGCCTTAATCTATGTTGAGGTTGTACGGATATCGATTTTCTGTAATCACCCTTTTCCTAGGCGCGTGGTCTCTCGTACAAAGCCATTTTAAGGATACAATTTCCATAGGCATCAATTTACGGGGAGGACGGTGAGGGGGGGGGGGGGTCAATCGATATAAAAATGCATTGAAAATAACTACGGTAGCGTATCAAATTATGTTTTATATATGGCAAAATCAGAGATTATAGAGCGTTACGGTCGTAAATGTAGGCGATATTGGAATAATTAGCCGTTACAGAGGTTACTGGATTCCGGATAATGGTGTCAATATATATTAAGCGTTTTTATGTTGCTGGCTTTTCCTGATAAGAAATATACCATAAATAGATTTTTGTGAATTATATTTGTACAAAAAGAACATTCACTTAAATCACTGAAAATAGACCTAAGCTTGAAAGACACCTCAAATTACTATATTTGTGTCCTGTTTCAAATTAGGAAGTGTCTATTCTGAGTTTGAAGGATTTCAATATCAAACTAATTTAGTCCATAAGTCAAAAGTTAAGAACCCTGGCAAAAATTAGATTTGGCCTCTCCGGACAAATATACGAGACACACAAGCCAGTACCGTTGGTAAGGTTACATATTTTGAGCACGCTAAGTACTCCTTATAATATACCCATTTTTATGAGAAACTTTTCATTATGCAATGAGTAAGTGTTTTATTTCTGATACGAAGACTGACGACCTTTGCAGCTATGTACGACCATCCGAGAACAATATCATCTGGTACTATTCCGTGCTTATAAAAATTAGGGTATAGTTTTAAAGCTGCATGCCTCTAGATGAGCCAAAATATTTCAAGAAATTTAATCTTGAATAAGATGTACTAAGATTTAAAGAAAAGTAAAAAAAGATTCACAATTCAAGTTATAATTAAAATATTATGTTCGATTAATGACTGATTTTGGAGTATTTATCAGTAACATTCTGCTGCGTTTCTAAGGTAGTTAGAGCTATTTTTGCATATTTTGACCTCTTTTTGGTAATTAACGTGAGTTATAAGTGTCGTTTTCAATATATAAATTTATATCTTTTTTCACTTCACAAAATTCTACTTCTAGATACATTTTCAAAATTTTCATGAACATAAGCAAGAATCTGGAGGCATGTTGCTTTAATCAGGCTATATATTATAGAAAATAATTTAAGGTATAAGAGGGTTTGGTATTAAGTTTAAAACTACCATATCTAAATATGTGGCATATTGCACAAGGATATAATGTCATATTATGTCGGTCGGTCAAACATTGAACACAAACATTTCTGACATAACTACCAAAGCATTTATGTAATGTTGAAAATAAACATACGTACTTTTTACTTAATGTAAATATGTCTGAGAAACATTTGTAGGCTTAACATAATTAGTAGATGAAGCTAAAAATTAATTACCAAACGGTGCCCTTTCACAAACCACATTGCTGTTATGTGGTTCCGATTAAGAAAATAAACCCAGCAACAACTGGACATAAACACGTCATTCCAAGGCGTAGTTGACACCCATTCATGGCAAATAATGTCACAAATCTTATATATATATCGATAATAAAAGAAGTCAACGAAACAAATTGGAAACCCACTACAGTATTGGCGTAATTGTTATTTTCTTTCAATCCCAGAATGTACTTTTATAGCAAATATACTCACTGGATGTTGCTTATAACATTAAGAAACAAGGGTTCTTTTATTACAATTATATTTTTCAGTGGGGATTCTATGCGAGATGGACATGAAAAGGAAGAATATATATTTTTTTTAAATATTAAAAAAAACAACTTTAAATGAAGATGCGATATGAACACGAACGAAATGTTTCAAACTCTGTTTTTTTTCCATGTTTTTCAATTTAATTGTATGCAGAAGAACTCTTTTAATCACATATGTATACTTCACAAATTTTAATTTTTTTTCGTGATAAAAAATAAATTGATTATTATTTCTGAACATAAGTCATGTATTGATAACTAACGGTATCGAGATACATGTATAAAGAAGTAGCTATGAGCGGAACAAAACATAAGTTAACCATAAGTGTATCATAGTTTGGGGACCTTTCTGTTGAAAAAGTGTCAGAGGTAAATCGTTTACATATACAGATATTCCAGAGCCTGCCACTGATTGGCTCATTTTTGGGGGGTTTACTTATTGTGACGACAGAGAAAGGCAAAGCGATAGAAATATCATATTAAGATGCTCGTTGATTGGTTACTTTTTCTGGGGTACCATTTTGTGACAACAGGGAACGTGTTTTTATTTTTAAATATGATACAAAAGAGAAAGAACATCAAAACACTGGCAATCTAAACACTCGGCAATCTAATATATTTATACTCGGGGGCTTCGCCACCCTCCCCCCTCGTACAAATTAGATAACCTCTAGTTTCGATGCTCTTTCTATTACATATGCATTCATAGATATAAAATTAATTATACGGTGTAACGGTATTGCGTATGGCTGCTGTGCAAAACGTGTATAGAATGCAATTGAAATTCACATCATTTAGAATATTATTCTAACAAAGCACTGAAAGCACCCAATCCTGAAATTGGCAATCTTTTGTCCCGGACAAATAATGGCAATGTCCTTGGAAAAAATGATATGTTTTCCTTTGCACTGAAATTTGATGCTACCGTTCAATGTTTGTGTCTGGATAGTTCATTTATTTTGTTTGCTTTCGTTTAGAGTCTATTATTTTCTTTGTGAGCAAATAAAAGATGATGATACTTTTTTCACACCGTGTCAACGAGCGGTATATCAAATTTCTTGTGTTACTGACAAACACTGAATTGTTTTATCTCTCAATTTTGGTTCACTATTTGAGAACGCTGAATGTGAAAAGTGACCTAAATATGATATTATTAAAATAGAGTCCAATATTGATATTACCACTTTCTCTAAGCAGAAAGACTATCCCGTGTAGGGGTGCTTCTTTAATTATGGGGACTGGAATATTTTCTTTTGGAAGTGTATAAAATGTTAGAATTTATTTCACACCAAAAAGAAAATGTAAGTTCAAGATATCTTGTGTAAGGAATAAAGACATGTTTTCTAGTCACATAACGTGTAATTGCGCATTCAGAAAAGAAAAAAGAAAAGTATAGGGGCTTTTTAGTTGTACAGTCAAAATTTGATCGAAACTAGTTATTTCATATCCGCCAGACTGGTGTGTTAATCGTTTTTCCAAGATGTAATTCTTTTCTTGTAAAGAAAACCAGTCCTGCAGTCTGTGTAAGACGAGGTCTATGAGCGTACTTCAAAGCGATATACCGCATAAGCCTATTTTCTTCGCTAATGAGGTTTCGATTTAAATGTCGTCTGCTGGAAAAAAAATCGACTTAATTTAAACGGAAACACAAATCCACGCGGAATGTCTCAAATGCCACGTGTTTGACACCAATACCGTGTAGCAACACAACTATATATATTAAATTATTTTTGAGACTTTTTGAAAAATGAAAAAGCTTTTTTTAAAAATCTAATTATTAATTTACAGAATTTCAGTTTGCATCGTGTGTAAACACATGTAATGATATTTCTGAGACGAGTTTGATGTAACTTTATATGAATGTAAGATTCTCTGACATGTATATTACATGATAGATCTATAATATTCTTTTTATATCAACTTCGTCGTACATTCAACTAATAAACAGATTCATTGTCTAAGTTGTTGCTGTGTTTGATGATGTTTTTATTATTATTATTATTATTATTTTTATTTTATTTTATTATTAATATTTTCATTATTATAATTATTATTATTATTTTTCTATTATTATTATAATAATTATTATTATTTTTCTATTATTATTATTATTTATCATCATCATCATCATTATTATTATTATTATTATTATTTATCATCATTATTAGTATTATTAATTCTCATATTTTGAAACCAAATATTTGCAACGGGAAGTGACATGAAAAGCAGTATCTAAAACGGAAAGTTGGTTGTGAAGTACGTCAACTTATAAAACCCACATACTACTCATTTTTTACGAGGTCACGCAAACACAAAATGACAAAAAAAGTCATTTCATTTTTTTTCTTCTTTCTTCATATTTCAAGTTTCAATTTTCCTTAAAAAACGATAAAAAAAGAACAAAAATTGGTAGAATAAACGGGGAAAAAGGTGCAAACAAATTCTATGAATTTCATGTGACCACAAACTTCCTTAATATTAAGGACATGACATACTTAAATGTCTGTGGTTTTTAATTGTGGCAAGGTGGTCATGTCGCAACATACTTCCGTCTTGGAACTAGGCCACTTCAACAGGAAGTTAAGATGGTTGAGGGCGTTTTCAACTTTTTATACAGAAAGTGACTCAAAATGGGTTTAAACATTTAAGACCATTACGCATATCAAATTTCAGATGCATTTCTTAGCATAGAATGAGACTTTTTATTTTCATGTAGAATAAAACAAGGATCTACAAAAAGATTATTTCCCGACATTTTTACTCTATAAGTTTTATAAACCAGACTCGAGACAGATTCTTATATACGGCAAATAGCTATAAAATAGCTAGAAAATGAATCAATGTTTCATACTCGCTGATTATTCCAATAATTACATAGAACAAGTTTAGAATATGTTAGAATTATTCCCCAAAGTGTATATAAACTGAGGAAAAACAATGTACAAGATGTCGTAAAGTACGATTTTCCCTCCGTCGAAATTGCGTGGAGCCAAGGATAATAGTGAAACGAACGTAAATCTGTGTCTCCAAACGCTTAGCTGTATTTTTATGCGAGATCAGTGTTCCTAGAGGCGCTTTTGCGACAATCAATCGATGGTACGCTGGCATTCTGTCAGCCC